TTATCTAACTATTTAAGCAAGGAATTTTATTCAATCAGAAAAATTACATAACCACATCTTTTGAAATTTGAAATCTATTGATCTCTTATATTAGATAACTGAAATAAAAATATCATTTCCAGTTATAGTTAATCATGTGAAATAATATTTGAAGCCTATATTTCGTAGAATAAAATAAAGAAACTACAGTACTTTAATCTAAAATTTTAATTTGCAAACAGGAGTGCTAAACGTAGATTTTTTTCAAGGAGAAAAGTAAAAGATAATGTATGTTTCTTCAATGATATAGAAGTATATTGCACAAAAAATATATAACATTAAAAACTAAAAAAAAAAAAGTACACATTACAAATATTTAATAAAAACATAAGTCCAGTTTAATCATTTTTTAAAAAATAATTCTTTTAATAGTATTTCATCTATACTATGCTCCAACTCCATATCTGGAGTATCATGTTATATGAAACAATGCTTCAACATTAAACAGAATTTTGACTGCAGTAAGGTAACAATTACCCAACATCAGGTACATGTTAAACTGTTGAAAAAAATGTATTTCTACAAACTTTATTCACTGAATTCATCACTTAAGAAAATTTTTCTCCTTCATAAATCTTGCTGTTTATGACTACATACTAAAGATAGGTGGGAATGTATCGATCTGATACTTCGCCACTGAAACCAATAAGTCGTAGAAACACTAAACCATAATGCACACTAAAGATTGTACATATAGTCGTTCCTTTGACTACACTCGAACATTATATCAAAAAGGAACACTTTTAGGAAAGTAAATGAAAATATACTCCCTTTCAGCCAATTTTATTGCAGAGAAACTTCTATAAAACAATATTAATGTAAATAGCATCAGCCCCATTACCTCCTTTAATTACTCGATGCCCACATCGATAATTTAAAGCGGACCCTACACGGTCGTTCAGAATTGCATTCCGTGGCACTAATGACGTTCTGAATTATCGTTGAAGGTAGAGAATGAAGTACTGATTGAGTTGTCTGCCGGATTTCCGAAAATCAAAGGTTCATTCACAAGAAGTGGAGGGAGGACTGAGGTAAAAGTAGTGGGGAGACTAACCATACTACTGGATAGGTTAGGTTACCTCGGCCTCACAACCATTATAAATTTCTGATTTTCATTATAAGTAAATAGTTAAATAATTTTTCATATCCCTAGTTTATATTTTTAAAGCATCTTCAACTATTTCTTTTGAATAGTCAAGTGGGCAACAAATTAAAAAAAAATGTGGAAACTTCACAATTTACTTTAAGAAAAAAAAAAAAACTTTAACGCTGTGTATATTTGTCAGTTCTTTTCCCATTTTCCTCAACAAATTTATTATTTTCGCAATACCTTTCCTTAATTTTTGTAAGTAGTAGACTTATATTTTACTAACTTTTGTCAAAACGATTTTCTATGAGACTAACCGTACTACTAGATAGGTTAGTTTACCTTGATCTCGTTTTTAAGTAAATAATTTCATAAAAGTAAATAGTTGTTTATGTCCCTAGTCTATATTTTTATTAACCATATACAACTATTTTTTCTTTAAATAGTCAAGTAGGCAAAAATTAAAAAAAAAAAAATGGAAACTTCACAATTTACTTATAGAAAAAAAAATCTTTAACTGTTGTGTTTATTTGTCATTAATTTTTCCATTTTTCTTAACAAATTGATTATTTTCGCAATACTTTTCCTAGATTTTTGTATGTAGTTGACTTATATTTTTCTAACTTTGGTCTAAACGATTTTCAGGCACTAGGAAGTAATTATTATATCTCCATTTTTCTCTTGATGCCCAGTATTATAAATGACAATGTCCAAATAAGCATATCTATGCTGTTTCTTTGTTTACAACTGAGCTAAATTGGTGTCAGAAACGATAAGTAATGATTGAACGTGTAGGGGTCTTCATGATCTAAACGATCCCGAGCAATCTTAGCCATTCTTGTGACATTCATTCATGAATTGCCGTGTAGGGTCCGCTTAACACGTTTTCCTGCCACAGTTTAAGAAAAGAAGAAAAATCTAATTGGCCAAAAGGATTCCTTTCTCAATGAGTTTTATAAAAGCAATCCTATTCAAATGGAGATATAAGATCAAATATGTAAAGTCTCCAGTACTTCAGTCACAGCTTGGGGTTTCTCTCACATGCATTGCCTTGGCAAATCGCATTTTCACAAGAACATTATTTATTGTTCCTATAAAAAACTCGTCTCTTTTCTACTAGAAACATACCCGTGAATTTTTTTACTTCATTGATTTCAGTTATGAATAGTTGCTTGAACATATTATGGGATTTATAATTGATACTACAAATGTTTGTTTCATTGAATGTACGAAACCAATAGATCGTTTAAAGGTTATTTCAAGTACAGAAATAAATTTATTAGAAATAAGTGCCGCTTAAGGAAGTGTCAAGAAGGTAATAACGACTCCACAGAGATATAGATTGTTTATGGTAAACTGTATTTAGACATTTTACAAACTATGGAAAACACAAATATTTTAAATGGTTTTATCCCTATGCTAGTGTATTTATTTGTTTCTTGTTTTTGATGTTTTCCATCTGATGTAAGTTACAAAAGAAATAAAAACACATTTTGGGGTTAAAGATAATATCGCGATTAGTTAAGTTAGATAAATGTTTTCCATAGTTTGTGAAATGTCTAAACACTTACATCACATTTTAATAAATTCAAACTTTAAATGTTACATTTTATTCTTTTCTAGATTGTTTACTTTTTCATTACATGTTTGAGGTTAAGTTTACTTTAGTGATTTCACGGTTATGAATAGTTTCTTTAACATGTTTACGGCATTCATAATTGATACTAAAAACACTTGTTTTATTTTAAAAAATTCACGAGTATGATTAAAGTTGAAAAGAGTAGACAACTTTTTACTATAATTCATTTTTTATTTTCCTTTTTAAAACAAATTTAAGAAGGAAGTAAAAAGCAGTGTCATTAGATTTTTAAAATAAAAATATTACTTCCTCACTCAACCACACTTCCTCTCTCTCTGAAATATATTTATATATTATATGATTCAAATTAATTCATTGATGAATTTTCCCTCAGTGAAATCAGAAAACTATGGACCTAATGAAACCTTTTTTATATATATAATAGAATTTGAGCCATTCTTATAAACTTACCAGTTATAAATAAGATAAAAATTTATAAAAACTTATTTAAAAGTTATGCTTCATAAAAAATATATTCAGTGACTTATTACAATGAATTGATAAAGTACCATTTTTATAATTCTTGTTAATGTTCATTTTTATCAATATAACTAGATGCATCTTTCATTCTTTCTCTTTACTATTTCTATCTACTATTTCATTTTCAAATTATTTTTTTATTATTATGAATAAGTTTCTCTGATGTGCAGTTACCTTGAAAATACTGTAGACCATGGCCATGAAAAAAAAAATTATAAAACAAATAAAAATAAAATTCTTACTTCCAGAAGTATGCAATATTCTATGAAATATCTCACCAGCATAAAACATGTCTAAGTTCATAGTAATACAATTAAATAGCAACATACCATATATAAAATTTACCACCTTAACATAATACATAATAATTAATCAAAACTGAACATATGTTTGAAAAGACATATTTTACTAAGTATATAATGGAAGGCTACCATTAAAAAGTACTTGACATAGGAAATAATCATTCTTTTAGAAAAAAAATGAAGCTCTACAACCTACCAATCAACCTCAAGGTTATAGGAACAATTAGACCAATACCTACACAATCATCTACTGTACGTTCATACCATCTTACAGCCACACAATTAAGTAATAGAAAAAACAATGCAGAAATAAATCTTTATATCCTACCATAGTAAACGACTATTCCATCAACATAAATAAATAATCAAGAAGCAGGATGCTATGAGTTTTCGTGAACTGCCAAGAATGATGATCCTCAACGGAAATTGTTCAGGAATCTTCAAGATGATAAGGCTATTATTAGTAATGGCACCAGAAAAACAAAAATTGAGCTGGGTCAAAACTTGTACACTTAAAATGAATGAAACTGGAGATTGATTTCGAATTAAGATAAAGTTACAGCCTCTTTCAAAATGCTAAACATTGATTAAAATAAAAAATAATTCTTTCATAACAATATTATAGTCAATTTTGAGTTGCATATGGATCTACATGGATAGTTCTAATCCAAGAGTCTCTAATTATGACTAACAAAAGTAACAAGAGGACCTCAGGGAAAAAACAAAATAATTAATAATAAAACAATTTCAAAAAATATAAATTAAAATTTATTGTAAAATATTTTTAAAATCACAGCCCACACTGTGTTGAATAACATTGAATAAATATATTCAATGAATTAGATTCATCTCACTGAAAATGTTTCATCACTGAAAAACTCCATTAAATAATATTGAAAACTGTAATAGTAAAATATTTTATAACCTATATATCCAATAACATAATAAATATATAAAAATTCAGTTTTTTTCATAAAACAAGCCCACTTTTACAAGCGATCTCTACAAGTAGATAATAAATTAATTCATAAATCCGTAATAATACTATTCATTGATTCCTATTAATAATGAACACTGTACAAAATACTTAATAAAATTCAAGACTAGAAACTAATTAACAATTAAATTTAAAAACAATAACTCATAATAATAAAAAACATACCCTCATTGACATATCTATCATAAAATTATAATACCTTAAATAATCACACAATATAAACTCTTTAAATTAAACATTAAATATACAAATAAAATACTGTATGCAAGAAGACAACTAGACGATCGTTTCACCTATCTTGCTCAGAGCAGCATTATTTCATTCCCAGTGCACCCATGATTACTGAAAACTTCCAATTTAATAACAATTAACATGAACGCCTAAACATAATGAAATCTTCCATCTTATAGATATGTTAATGAGGCAGTTATTAAATACAAAGCAAACTTTAGTTACCTTTGGCTGCTTTGATGGACTGATACCTTCCTGCAAATGTTTTATACAATGTGTAATCATCAACTTCGGGTGTTAGATCTCCGACCCACAATGAGAATTCCCTCTCATTCATCATGATTTTTCCTTGGTTTGTCGCCGTATTCAGTCGGAACCTAACTGGCTGTAAGCATGGATAGAAGTTTGTGATAAAACAAAATATTAAACCTTACACCTAATAAACATGACTAGTATTGCATCACATAAATTTCATGATCACCATGAGTACAGACAACTTAAATAATAACATTTTATATTCGACAAATATCAATAAAAGTAAGTGCATGAAGTTACATACCAGGCATGAAAATACTAATTGAGTAATTTTTCAATATAATACGCTTCTTCTTTTTGTAGTCCAATATGGAAGCTCCATATTCTATTCCAAAACGCTAGTAATGATAATAATTATGCTTTAAACAGTTAACCTTGTATTGAATAAAGTTTACTTCGAATACCTCATATAATTCACAGCTAATAATAACTATATTTATAAACAATTGACAAGAATAGAAATAAAGTAAAATCTAAAAAAGTACTATAAACAAATTAAGCTTACAGGTGTAGTATTTGGTATCGCTTTTCCATTAAGTTTGTGCATAGCATCAATAGCTTCATCATCATTTTCAAAATGAACAAAACAATAACCTGCGGGTTCACCAGTAAACTTATTTCTCATTACTTTAACATTTAGAGGTTTTTCCCCCATTCTCTGAAAGGAGGCCAATATAAAGGACTCAGTCATGTATGGTTCCAGCTACAACAAGCAGGGTAATGTAATGATAAATTTTGGAAGAACAGAATTTATGAAAAAAAGGTCCCTAAATGAATGCACTTACTCCTCCCATCCACAACTGACAATGTACCATATTTCCAGTTGTCATCTCGAAATGTATATTAATAGTATTTCCAGTTTCTTAAAATAAACAGAACACGCTACTATGCACTTTCGCAACCACTATTTACCATAATAAACACATACAAACGCCGACTTATCCCAATACTGTGAACATGGCGTAACAGCAGCGTCCATCATTTGTTGCCACTACACCTTTCCTTCATCGTTTCGAATAAATAATAAATAACAAAAACAATTTTTGACAAATTGTGAACCAAAATTATTTAAGTAAATGTATTAAAAATAACAAAATAAAAATAAATTAAATGATAATCTAATTACCAAGACAGTTGCCTGTCACGTGAGCTAAATTAGCGTGAAACTGTTCTAAAATAGAATAAACTTTAATCAGAAGCATCTACGAAACGAAAAATTAGACATCGAAATAAGAATTATAACATAACTCTTAACAACAAACAAGATAGCTAGATCAGTAAAATTATTATTTTACGAATTTCTTGATCTAAAGTGATAACTATTTTTTGAACTACTCGTTAAAAAAATAAAATTGACTAAAATTCTAATTAAAATATTATCTTATTTATTATGAAAATATTTGCTCTTACATCACAATCAATGAATTAAAGAAATATATATGTATGTATTTCTACAGTCAAATTATTAATTAGTAATACAGTGCTATGATCTGAATATCACGCGATTTATACTCAACTTTAAACATTTTCTTTATATCTTATACATATATTTAAACTATTAATAAAACCTCATTATTAATAATGATTCAAAATTTGTTTGGTTTCAGCTACAATATTAACTAATCAGGATAAAATTCGTGAATGACAAAGCCAACTGTACGTTGTGTAAACATTTTAAAAATCTAAACATGTCCAATCTACCACAAGACCATTATAATAATTTTATATAAAACAAGTAACATATATCTTTCTAGAAAAGTATTAAGATTATAAGTCAAGATTTACCTAATTTAAGTTTTGGTGTATACGTCGTTTCTTTCAACTTTTCTTTTCTGTGATTGCTACACGAGAATTCAGGACGGGGGGGGGGGATCATTTGGCTTAAACGCTCCCAAAACAAACAAAAAACATTGTTCCATTTTTGTTTCTATGTATGATATAAGCTAAACACATAAACAATTACTATATTTAAAGTATATTCACTTATTCAAATAGTTAAAAAAATTTCAAAGGAGTGGTCATCAAAAACATGAAATAGATAAGCATGAAATATGAAAAAGTTGTTACCTATGAATGAGTAAAATAATTTTTAGATTAAATGTTTTTAACTTATTGCTTTCTTTGTTTCTATTGACTTATTCTTTTAATACTCTTCTCAAAAGATGAAATCCCTAAAATATATTCTCAACTAAAGTTTAGTAAACTTTAAAACTATAGTAATTCAATTACCGCAGGCATTTTTCTTTGTGAAGTTATAAATAACTCTGTGAAAACCTCAGTGCATTAATGTTCCATTAAAACAATTGAAGTTCTGTTTTTTTAATATTAACCTAGCTCTCAGTAATATAATCTTAACTTGAGATTCTTAAGTATGGCTCTACATATAGCCTTGATCTCTCCATGTGACAAAAAAGGTAGTTATATACCAGCTTTGCATACACACTGACACTAGCGGTTCCAGGAATTAATTTTGGAGTGGGGGGGGGGAGAGAGCTTCAGCCCGTAAGCTTTTATATATATATATATATATTATGATAATTAGTTTGAATGAAAGTGACAGAAAATAACTACTAACAAGAAGTAGTGTTTAAGTGATTCTTTAAGTCCTATTAAATGTAATCAATGAACAATAAGCGAAAGTAGGATTAGACAAATCGTATATAATACAATATACAATTACACTTGCTGTGATCTGTCCCATCTTTCGTCATAGTTTTCTGTTTAGAAAGTTTTCTGAAAATTCATAGCCCTGTCGAAAAGTGCACCGCTAAAAAATTCGAACCCCAGTCAAAATGTGCCCCACTTAAAAATTTTGATGGCGCAACTTGTGCCATGCAACCCTTTTCTGGACACTCCTGTATATTTATATAAAAAAAAAACTTTCGGGCTGAAGCCCTCCCCAAAATTAAATCCTGGATCCGTTAGTGAATATCTATCTTTATAATATAATGCGTAACATTAGGAAGGTAAGAGGTACCGAAAAAGGGTTGGATCTGGATGGACAACACCCGTGCTGGGCTTTGCGGATGATCTGGTCCTGTCAAGCGAAGATACGGAAACTATAAATTACTAAATACGACAACTTTAATGAAACCCAGTAAAGAACTAGGGCTCGAAATAAACACGCATAAGACAAAATATATATTTAGCTGCAAAAATGGCGATTTTGCTGGTGATATCGATATAGAAGGTAATCTGTTTGAACAGGTAGATAAATTTAGGTATCTAGATTCTACGATAACTAGAAAAAACGATATTGGAGAGGATATTAAGGTTAGCCTGAAGGCGAGAAATGCTTGTTATTTTTCTATGACAAATCTACTTAGCTCGCGCATCTTGACCCGGAATTTAAAGACTAGAATCTATAAAACCATTATCTTACCTGCAGTCCTTTATGGATGCGAAACGTGGCCGTTTACATTAAGGGATGAGCAACGTCTTAAGGTTTTAAGACTAAGAAAATAAATGATTGCGTTGAATATTCGGATCGAAGAAGGATGAGTTAACCGGAGGGTTCAGACGGTTACACAACGCCGAATTGCGTGACCTGTATCCAGTTAATATAATTGAAGTGATTACATCGCGTCGAATTAAATGGGCTTGTAAAATTGTGGGGCTTGGTAACGAAATAATTCCTATAAGATTAATATTTGCTGTACCGAATAGTAAAAGTCTGAGGGGAAGACCGAGGGCAAGATGGGAAGATTGCGTTAAAGCCGATCTGAAGGGACTGGATTTGGACGGCGAATAGTGGAGTGAGGTGTGTAATAAGCGATTGGTGGTGTCGGCATCGAACCTTCGGGTTCGCTAATCCTGTTATTATTATTATTATATAATACGACAGTTTTTGCCGTAATAATATCTTTTTCAGCTCTCCGGAGTTATGTATTTTGATGAAAAATGTATCAAAGGAAAGAGTACTAAATGGAGCAGTGACGAATCATATTAACATCCATCCGAAATTTCAGTAAAAAAAGTTATGAATGAAAAGAAAATTTATTTGCGAATTAATTAAAGAGTATACATAATTTTCTTGATCATGCCCATTGTTATTGGAAAATTAATAAATTCCTCACAAAATGAAAATAAATCGTGAAAATAGATTAGAAATTTGTAAATTAGAAACAATCTTAGCAGCAAAGTGGGTTCAAATAATTTTTAAGGAGGAACAGAGTTGAGATTTGTATTTCGCATCTGGAAGAACTCTCAAATAAGAATTTTCGTAGCAATCGAAAAATAAATTTGTTTTCCTATTTTATCAGTTGTTCTCTGACCAATATTTTTAATAATTATTATAATTATATAATATAATATAATTATTATAATAATATGCAAGCGTACGCAAAGCTGGTATTGTCAATTGTTTTAATGGAACATCAATATACTGAGGTTTCGACAGAGTTATTTATAACTACATAAAGAAAAATGCCTACGGTAATTGAATTACTATAGTTTTAAAGTTTTCTAAACTTTAGTTGAAAATATATTTTAGAGATTTCATCTTTTGAGAAGAGTATTAAAAGAATAAGTCAAAGAGAACAAAGATAGCAATAAGTTAAAAACATTTAATCTAAAAATAATTCTACTCATTCATAGATAAGGGGTATTATTCTTTTTAAATAAGATATGGTAATGAGAAATCGAGAATTGAAATTCGCGCTCATTCGGGGTGATAATGAGGAGCCGATGACTGCCGAAGAAACACGAGTGCGCCCTCAAGCTTTGTAGATGGGTTCCGATTATATTATTTACTTATACACACTAGCGGATCCAGAATTTAATTTTGGGGGAGGCTTCAGCCCGAAAGCTTTTTTTTTCATAAAAATAACGATAATTACTTTGGAAAAAAAGAAAGAAACTAACTACCTATATGAAATGGTGTTTAAGTGATTCCTAAAGCCCATTTAAATGTAATCAAACGAACAATAATACTGTAAGTGATAATTTTTAAATAATTTTTTCCATAAAACATGGTTATATTTTACCTTTTTGGAGGGGCTTTAGCCTGAAAGCTTCCCCCCCCTCGTAGATTCGCCCGTGCCCACTAAGGAAATCTATGAGAAAAAGCAAATGAAAATGTGTGAAAACAGTTTGGCTCATAAAAAATCGATCATTTTTTTTAATGATTTGAATAACGAATTAAAAAATAGTAGATAAATTCAGATAACAAAACAAATAAATAACTTATCATCTATTATTTATTTAAGACAAATTTGTCTGTTACTTTATAAGAACTTATAAAAATGTAGAGAAGAAATACAAACCAACTTAATAATGAAACAAAAATAAATTAAGAAGTGTAATAATGAACAACTTACTAGTTAATGATTAACAAATTTGTTCAACAGAAACTTTAGTGTACTTAAGATGTGAAACTTAAGTTATTTAGTCTTTACTGTGGACTTATAATTTATTTTCTGATTTTAATCCCTATTATTTGTATTGAATGAATTATCTGCGTAGTTATTGTCATTCATAGTTAATTTTCTTAATAATCCGAAAATAGGGACCAATTATAGTCACCACTGTTAACTTAATCATTATTTTCGAAAAAGGAATGAATGCAGTGGGAATTGCAGCTGACGAAAATATTTAAATATTCCATGATACTGAATAATGGAAATTATTATTATTAAATTAAATTATTTATATATATATAATATTCCAATTTTATAAATATTTCATGTCGTAAAATAGCATTCAGTAATATAATAATTAGAGGTGTTATTTATTACTATTTTTGCCACATCTGTGTAATATATACACACACATATATATTATATTATATATATATAATATATATATATATATATATATATATATATATATA